TGTCAGCATACCCAATTTTGCTCTCCCTTTCCAGTCATGTAAATTAAGCTTTAGAAATTGCCAAAGCTGTAGGAAGAATAATATACAAAACAAGATGACATAGTTAATAGATCCTATTTCCAGAGTTCTGGTCACTTTTTACCATTTGATATTTTATCAAAATGGTTTCTGTTTAGGTGAAATCTTAGGTGAAATATTCATCAGAAAAGTATAAATGTTCATTAACTGTACTTTTAAGGTTAGTTCCATTCTCATTGATAACATTTTCAATGGAACATAATTTTTTATGGTGGAAATTTTGTGATGCTAAAATAGAATCTGTTTGCCTTTCACAGATTCATAGAACTGACTCTTTTAAAAGACTTCTTGATGGTTAGGAGTTTTTTTTGGCTTCAAGAAACAAAAATCTGAAAGGAAAAGATAGTAGATTTCTAGTGCTGAGTTGGCAGCTTAATGATGCCAGACAGACAGGAGTCTCTAAGGTTCTCTCAGCCTTTCACGTATGGTCAAGTGATGACCACTACAGATCTGGTCGGACATCTGTACTCACAGCACAGAAGGGGAGAGAGGATAGCAGCCGAGCTGTGTTTACATCTGCCATGCCTTCGCCTGAATATAGGGAGTCTGGGAAACTGTATAGTTTAGCTAATATTTAGTAATATTACACTTAGGATAAAGTAAAAACAAGAGGGCAGGGATTGGAGTTAGGTATTAGGTGAGCCTACTGTGATCTACCTCTGCATAGTATACAATACCATTTCCCCATATACTTAAACCTAATTCATTGTGATGAATTTAAAAGGTGAAAATATAACTAATGTATGTGATATCGTTCCCTGAAGAAGTGCATTAAGCTTTGTTCAGTCTTTGTGAGGAAGTGATGGAAAATTTTTTTTTATTTTGCCAAAAGATACTGGAACTTAGAAACTAGGCTAGGTACTTTCACATAAACTCTTGAGGTATAGGTAGTGTTATCCCTAACGTTACAAATTAGGAAACTAAGACAGAGATGTTAAGCAGTTTGCTCTAGATCACAGAGCCTAGATGGGTGAACCAAGTTTAGAATCTGGACTTTTCTCTTAGGCAAGTTGCAGATGTTCATATATTGAAATGAATTATAATGCTATGGAAAGAATGATATTTGAGAGTCAGGAAACTTAAGCAGATATACACAAAAGGTGGCATTATGTATAATATCCATTTGATGGAAGAGCTAGAGCACCCTAGCAGTTCTGGTAGCCAAATACTGGGATAATAATAGCTTTTTACTTACGCGTTAACTCACTTATGCCTAGTGTTCCATTGTTGGAACACTAAGCTTGTGGGAGTTATATATATCCTACAGCTCAGGGTCATTGCCAAGGTCTGATTTTTCACAAAAAAATTTTTCAACCTCAGGCATAAATGAGTTAAAGCTTTAGAAATCACCACAGCTGCAGAAAGAATGATATATGAAACAGACTGCCATAGTTAATATTTCCTATTGTTAGTAGACCATCAGTTAACATATCAATGCACTTTATTCTATGCATTTTATTTATACTAATCCATTTAATTCTCATCACAACCCTTGTGATCATGAGAGGCATTATTATTACCATGTTTAGAGGAAGAAACTGAAACACAAAGAGGCTAAGTTACAAACTTAATCTAGTAAGTGGCAGAGACTTAAGATCCAACCCAGATACTTCTTTTTTGTAGCCATGTGTTAGCCACTTTAATATAAAATATAATGAAAACTCAATTATAAGAGTTCAAAAGGGAAACCAATGGGTTTCCACTTTATTACAAGTTTTAAAATCTGAGACTAGTTGAAAATGCTTATATGCTAATTTCAGCTGAGGGTCAATTTTTTCACAATCAACTAAAAATAACTATATGGGAAGATCAATGCAACAAACAGTACAATTTATAAGCCCAAGCCACAAAGTTATTGTTAATCATAATGGTAAGAAACATAGCCAAAGAGCAACTTAAATCAGTTAAGTTTGAAAGAAACTCTAAAAAAATATGCAAGCAATTCTCCTTCAAAAAATTTGCATAGAGGCTGGGCGAGGTGGCTCACACCTGTAATCTCAGCACTTTAGGAGGCCGAGGCCAGTGAATCACCTACAGTCAGGAGACCAACCTGACCAACATGGCAAAACCCCATCGCTACTAAAAATAAAAAATTAGCCAGGCGTGGTGGCACATGCTTGTAATCCCAGCTACTCAGGAGACCGAGGCAGGAAAATCACTTAAACCTGGGAGGTGGAGGTTGCAGTGAGCCTAGATCGCACCATTGCACTTCAACCTGGGCAACAAGAGCGAAACTCTGTAGCAAAAAGAGAAAGAAATTTGCATAGAAATAGAAAACATTAGAGCCTTTACAAGTGAAATTGCAAAGCTGGAACATATTCAACTCAATCCACAGAGCACCAGACATTAAATTGGAACCAAAGTAGAATTTGTCCATTTAATTTTCAGTTATGTGACTTGGAGATCACTATAATTTTAGATGTGGAAACCAGCTGTAGGCAAGCTCTTTTAGAAACATGAATTTTAAGGCCGGGCGCGGTGGCTCAAGCCTGTAATCCCAGCACTTTGGGAGGCCGAGGTGGGTGGATCACGAGGTCGAAAGATCGAGACCATCCTGGTCAACATGGTGAAACCCCGTCTCTACTAAAAATTACAAAAAATTAGCTGGGCACGGTGGCGCGTGCCTGTAATCCCAGCTACTCAGGAGGCTGAGGCAGGAGAATTGCCTGAACCCAGGGGTTGGAGGTTGCGGTGAGCCGAGATCGCGCCATTGCACTCCAGCCTGGGTAACAAGAGCGAAACTCCATCTCAAAAAAAAAAAAAAAAAAAAGAAACATGAATTTTATACACCATATATTCTAAAACAAGGCAGATATTTCTGCATTATTGTTTGAATTTCAGAAGGGTACTTCAAGGTATCAGGGGTCTCTTTAAGAATCACTCTTGAAATAGTCACATCTTCCCAGCCTTGGTAACCACCTTTTTGCGGTTCTCTAGCCTTTGCACACATTGAAGCACACCACTTTATAGAATGACTTTTAACATTAAATCCCATGATGGCCTAGGTACTTGAAGCAGCTATTTCCAGGGCACCTCCCATCTCCTTTGCATGAGCAGTTTCCCAGTCACTTCTTCATCCCCCGCAACTCCTCTTCATGAGAGTCTCCACAGCTCACAGCATCAAGTTCTTCATTGCTGGGACTCACCAGAGACTATATCTGGAAGCTCTACTCCTCCAGCTTTTTCTGCTGGAGACCAGAGCGACAGTTTATTGCAAAGACTTGTGAAAACAAAGATATTTACAAATGAATTTTTGTATACATTTATTTAATTTAGAACCTGGGACTTTTACAATCTCTTTACAAACTCTTTTTATGGAGGGTGAACCACTTACTTGAGGCTACCCTGTTAACCATGCCCCATGTCCCCTCTCATAACTGACTTGTGTAAGAAAAAAATGAAGATTTTTCAAGTTGACTCTTACCTGTTTCTAATTAGTCTTGGAAGAATTTCTACTCATTTAGTAAAATAGGAAGTAGAATAGAATATGTTAAAGAATTTCACCAATAAAACAAATACCTAAAGCATCATTTTGGAAGGCAATGCATAGGAATCCTAAATTCAAGTCTGTTGAACAAAACTGATAATCTGATAATGATACGACATCTTTACAAAAAATAAGCAAAATTAGCCAGGTGAGGTGGGTGCATGCCTGGAGTCCCAGCAACTCAGGCGGCTGAGGTGAAAGAATTGCTTGAGCCTGGGAGGGTTGAGGCTGCAGTGAGCCTAGATTGTGCCACTGCATTCCAGCTTGGGTGACAGAGTGAGACACTGTCTCAAAAATAAGAAAACTGCTAATCTGTTAATACCCCCTTTCAGCTCATGATAACTAGTTTATATCTTCATAATTTTAAGAACTACCATAGAATATGGATCTAGATATTGAAATAAGAATGTAGCAAATGAATATGTGAAAATAATTTCACACAGATGGAAATTATACAGCTCAGAACTTGATGATGAATCATACTCTTGGAAAAGTATTCCATTCTTCCCCAGAGTCTGTCAACAGAGGGATATACAAAGTGATGTAGTTTTCATATTTCAGCTTTAACATCTGCTGCATGGCAGCCCATTTATATTTTTATCTAAGGAAACATCTATAAATATTGATAAAGATTTCCTTTTTGCTTTTGTTTCCAGGCTGTTTATCTCAGTATTTGTCCTATTGGCTATACAGTATCTCTGGGTGATCTGGAACTTGCATTTTCCTAATATGGCTTGTTAGAATTCCAACAAAGCAGTGCTGCAGTTGTGCTACTTGGTCACTGTGGTGTGTTCCTTAAAGCCAGAGTCTGTTGTCACTGCCGAGATTGGCTGTTTTCTTCTCTCTTGCTTTCCCTCTAATCCATGCACTACTAGTTTTAAACAGCAGTGAATACCAGGATTTTAAATGAGAGATTATTTTTTACATTTATTTTAGTCATGTCTTTTTTTTTCCCCATGAAACTTGAAGGAGAGTGAAGAGCAAGTTCATGAAAAGTTTGAGTTGCGTTTCGTGTTGCTTTAAAAAACCCATAGAGAAGACAATAAACATAAGTTGGCAACAAAAATATCAACATAACTGGATTGAGATTTCAGTAAAGCGAATTATTAAATGATAACAATTTTATCTTCTTGTATGCATAGCTCATTGTCAGACTAAATATTTTAATTCATGTAAAAAAGATTTGGAAATTAAAAACTAAAAGTTAAAAAACAGACATAGATATTTGGACAAATAAAACATAACTCTGTGTACTCATAGCAACAGATTGTTTTATTATTTGTTTGTGTAATTGGCATCATCTGTTTTTGAGAGTCTTGGAATAATAGAATCATTTGGGAGGGACTGTACAGAACGTTACTGGAATTGAATTGGCAGTAGTCACATATTGGTCTGTTTGCTGGTTTAGAATCCTTTCTTTGTTGCTTTTCATCAGGTGGGACTCTTCCCTGGACACTGTGTTGAGTTAATTAACCAAAAAGTACCCCAATCAGTGACCAACTCAGTGCCAAAACCAGGTGAGTACACTTTTTTCACTAGTGTAGTTATTTTATCAACTGCTCAAAGACACAGATTTTCTCTCTGTCAGTCAAGTATTTAGCTTGTTTTGCTATTTTTTTTGCATTTGTTGACATAATACTACATTCTTAATTTTGTATGCTTTGCTTTTTAAATGTATCTTATTTCTGTTGATCAGTTTGTAAAGATACATTCAAATTTTTTAGACAATTTTAAAGAACTGTGTGCTCCATTAAATTTTGTCATTATTTACTTTTACAATGCATAATAGCAGTGTAACTTATTCATGAATAAAATGATAACAATACGTTTTAAAGAGCTAACATAGAAATTGTAGGATTAATTGGAAATTAATAGATGAAAAGTAGGTATATTTTAACAGGGCATATGAAAATCAAAACTATTTTAAACAGCATTTCTTATTATATAGTATACTTACAGTGCTACATAAATATGTAGATTATATTAAAAATAAAGCATTGTTGAAGGGGATAAAAATCAAGAAAATGGGAATTTTGGTATTTATTGAGGTGATTTAGTTTTGGGAAGATTTAACAGAATGCCTCATCTGGAACTTTTTGATGATGTCAGTTTACAAAAATAAAATACAAACAGAGTCTAAAAAATTTTGGAGAAAGAAGAAGTAATCCAACTTATTTTTTTCTAGCTATATTACATTTCCTCTGTCCTTTCCCTCCTCCCAATAAAAGGAGAATAAATAAATTCTGGGCCTCAGAATTTATTTGAACTTTTTTCCTTATAATAGTATTTTTTGGTTTTAGTACCTGTATGTGAGAGTTACGGGAAAAAAAAAAAGAGTTATTCTTTCCTTTATTGGTATTTTCCCACTTATGCTCCCAATGCTTTCATCAAACAATCTTTGCCAATAATATGTAAGCAAAGGGCAATAACCCCTTTCAAAGCTTATTTCTTCATAGGAGACGAGGAAGTCATCTTTCCCATTTCTCTCATAGGAATTTGTTTATTTTAGACAGACTAACTTTATTGCTCAGTAGAGAAAATGCTTCAAAACAGTGTTCTCTGCAGTTCTACTTGAGTCAGGATTCTCATTTCTTTTCAAAGCAGTTTTATCCTTCTTGGGTAAACTTTTTTAAAAAGCTCCCAAGTGGGTACTTGTTCATTAGCTCTTCATTAGTAACTGTAGATTTCATTCCTTTTAAAAATATGACATTATTTTAAACTTACTGTTTTGAAAACTCAGCTTTATTGAGATTTAATTTACATATCGTGCACTTTACCCTTTAAATTGTGTAACAGAGTTGTACAGCCATCACCACAGTTAATTTTAGAACACCTTCATCACTTCACAAAGAAATCCCAAACTCATAAGCAAACGCTATTCCCCTCATACTGCTCCTAGCCCTAAACAACCACTTATCTACTTTCTGCCTTTATCAGTATCCCTATTCTGGACATTTTGTGTAAATCGAATCATATAGTGTGTGGTCTTTTGCTTCTTTTACTTAGAATAGTGTTTTCAAAGTTGACCCATGCAGTAGCATATATCAGTACTTCTGTTTTAATTCCCCCCTTTTTAATGGCTGGATAACATTTCATTGTGTGCGTACACCACATTTTATTTGTTTATTCATTTGGAGTTGTTTCCATTTTTGGCTTCTCTGAACATTCATGTATAAGTTTTTGTGTGGATGTGTTTTTTTGTTGTTGTTTGTTTGTTTGTTTGTTTGAGACAGAGTTTCGCTCTTGTTACCCAGGCTGGAGTGCAATGGCGCGATCTTGGCTCACCACAACCTCCCCCTTCTGGGTTCAGGCAATTCTCCTGCCTCAGCCTCCCGAGTAGCTGGGACTACAGGCGCGTACCACCATGCCCAGCTAATTTTTTGTATTTTTAGTAGAGTTTTGATTTCTCTTGGGTATATGTCCAAGTGTTCAATTGCTGGGTTATATGGTAGCTATGTTTAATCTTTGAGGAATTGCCAACTCCATCATAGGCGTAACTGTACCATTTTACAGTTCCATCAGCAGTGTATGAGATTCCCAGTTGCTCCATATCCTTGTCAACACTTGTTTTTATTTGGATTTTTTGATTATTGCCTTCTTAGTTGTGAAGTAGTATCTCACTGTGGTTTTGACTTACATTTTGCTTTTGGCTAACAATGTTGAACTTTTTTTATATGTGCTTATTGGCTATGTGGTTCATCTTCATTGGAGGGTATGTATTCATGTCCTTTGCTTATTATTTTTTCTTTTTTTTCCAAGACAAGGTCTTTCTCTGTCACCACAGGCTGGAATGCAATGTTGTAATTATAGCTCATTATAGCCCTCAACTCCAAGCCTCAGATGATCTTTCTGACGCAGCCTCCTCAATGATTGACATTACAGGTACACACAACTGCGCCCAGCTGATTTTTAAATTTTTTATAGAGATAGGGTCTTGCTTTGTTGCCCAGATTGGTTTCAAACTCCTGGCTTCAAGTGATTCTCCTGTCTCAGCCTCCCACCTTTGCCCAGTTTTTAATTGGATTATTTATGTTTCTGTTATTGAGTTATAAATGTTCCTCCTATATATTAGAGACAATTTTTTTTACCAGATAATAATGATTTACAAATATTTTACCTATTTTGTGGTTTGTCTTTTATTTTCTTCATAGTATCCATTGAAGCATACAGGTTTTTTATTTTCACATTTCTTTTGTCATTTATGCTTTTCATTCCTTATTTAAGAAGACTGGCTAGCCCACAGTCACAAAGATTTACTCTTGTGTTTTCTTCTGAGAGGTTTATAGTTTTAGATGTTACGTATTAATCTATGACCCATTTTTTAAAATTAATTTCTGTGTATAGTGATGAGGCAGGGGTTTAACTTTATAAGGTTATCAAATTGTTCTAATACTGTGTGTTGAAAAGATTATTTTTCCGGTTGAATTATCATGATATCCTTGGAAAATCACTTGACCCTAGACACAGTTGACCCTAGGTTCTGAACTTCCAGTTCTCTTCCAATGATCTATATGTCTTTTCTTATTCCAGTACTACCCTCTTTTGATTACTACTGTTTGGTAGTAAGTTTTGCAATGGGGAAGTATAAGTCTTCTACCTTATTCTTCTTTTTAAGGGTTGATTTGGCTTTTCTGGGTCCCTTGCAATTCCATATGGCTTTAGAATCAGCTTGTCAGTTTCTACAGAAGGAAGGAATTCTGATAGAGAAAATACTGAATCTGTAGATCAACTTGGGAAATATTATTAATGATATTAAGCCTTCCAGTCCCTGAACCTAGGATGTTTTTCTATTTATTTAAATATTCTTTTGTATTTTTAATCTTTTTTTTTTTTAAGAGACAGAGTCTTGCTCTGTTGCCCAGGCTGGAGTGTGATGGTGTGATCGTAGTTTACAACTCCTCAAACTTTTGGGCTCAAGGCATCTTTCCACCTCAGCCTCCTGAGTAGCTAGGACTGCTAACATGTGCCACTGTGCCAGGCTAGTTTTTTAGTTTCTTGTAGCAATGTCTCACTATGTTGTGTGGGCTGTTCCTGAACTGCTGGCCAGCTTTAAGTGATCCTCCTGCATGAGCCCCCAAAAGTGCTGGGATTATAGACATGAGCCAATAGGCCCAGCCAATTTAGACATTCTTTAATTTATTTCAGTATTTTGTAATTTTCACAGTAAGTTTCACATATCTTTTGTTGAATTTCTTTATAAATATTCAATTCTTTTTGATGCTATTGTACAGGGAATTTCAAAATTTAGTTTTCTTATTGTTCATGGCAAGTCCATAGGAATATAATTTTTGTATGTTGATGTTATTTCTTAAAGGCTTGTTGAAACGTTTCTTAGTTCTAAGAGTTTTGTAGTGGATTCCTTGCTATTTTCTATGTACAAGATTATGTCATCCACAGTAGCAACTTTTTACTTCTTCCCTTCCAATCTGGATGCCTTTTTATTTTTCTTGCCCAGTTGTCCTTGTGAGAACCTCTTAATACAATGTTGCATATGAATCTCAAGTGCAAGCATCCATGTCTTGTTCCTAATCTTAGGGGAATGCATCTAGTCTTCTTTTTTTTTTTTTTGCTTTTTTTTTTTATTGCATTTTAGGTTTTGGGGTACATGTGCAGAGCATGCAATACAGTTGCATATGTACACACATGGCAGTGTGTTTTGTTTGCTTTCTCCCCTTCACCCACATTTGGTATTTCTCCCCTGGCAATCCCTCCCCACCTCCCCCTCCCACTGGCCCTCCCCTTTCCCCCCTATAGACCCCAGTGTTTAGTACTCCCCTCTCTGTGTCCATGTGTTCTCATTTTTCATCACCCGCCTATGAGTGAGAATATGCGGTGTTTGATTTTCTGTTCTTGTGTCAGTTTGCTGAGAATGATGTTCTCCAGATTTATCCATGTCCCTACAAACGACATGAACTCATCATTTCTGATTGCTGCATAATATTCCATGGTGTATATGTGCCACATTTTCCCAATCCAGTCTATCATCGATGGGCATTTGGGTTGATTCCAGGTCTTTGCTATTGTAAACAGTGCTGCAATGAACATTCGTGTGCATGTGTCCTTGTAGTAGAACGATTTATAGTCCTTTGGATATATACCCAGTAATGGGATTGCTGGGTCAAATGGGATTTCTATTTCTAAGGCCTTGAGGAATCACCACACCATCGTCCACACTGGTTGGACTAATTTACACTCCCACCAACAGTGTAAAAGTGTTTCTTTTTCTCCACATCCTCTCCAGCATCTGTTGTCTCGAGATTTTTTAATGATCGCCATTCTAACTGGCGTGAGATGGTATCTCAATGTGGTTTTGATTTGCATCTCTCTGATGACCAGTGACGATGAGCATTTTTTCATATGATTGTTGGCTTCATATATGTCTTCTTTCGTAAAGTGTCTGTTCATATCCTTTGCCCACTTTTGAATGGGCTTGTTTGTTTTTTTCCTGTAAATCTGTTTGAGTTCTTTGTAAATTCTGGATATCAGCCCTTTGTCAGATGGGTAAACTGCAAAAATT